GCGCGGGCGTGTGGAGCACGTGCTGGCGCTGGGGTCCGGAGGTGTCCGCCAAGGTCCCGGCCCTGGGCGGCCGCCAATGGGGGGCCACAGGGTCAGAAAGCGGGAAGCACGGGGCTCGGCGGGATGTCGGTCCAGCTCCGGGCGGTGGGCTCCCTGCGTGCACGTCGCCTCCCGCCCCGCCCGGAAGTCGCTGGGGTAGGGGTGGAGGTGGGGGCTGCAGTGTCTTAAGAAGCGGATGCCCAGGTACGGGTTTGTTAACCCATTCATCCCCTGATCCCTTAAGTTTCTGCATCGTCAACATCTCCGACTGTCCGGGAGCCCCACGGCCCCAAGTGTCACCAACTTCTACCTGAGCCGTTTATTTACCCAGTTCATACTTAATGTAATGAATGGGCCGTCATCAGCTGGCCGGCCAGGCGGGCTTCTGGGCCCCAGGGATACTGCGGGTAGGAAACAAACGCGCCTCCCCGCTTCCCGCAGCGAGCTCACATTTCAGGAGGAGAAAGAATAAGTGAATATTGCATTTAGACAAGTTTTCCTAACAGGCAGTTGCTGAGAAGGGACCGAGGAAGAGGGGAGAAGTGACAGGTGTACTTAGCTTCTTGAAAGGCCTCTGGGAAATGGTGAGAACCAGAGCCATGAGAGTAAAGGGAACAGCAGAGGGAACAGGAAAGATGAAGGCTCTGAGGTGGGAGATACAGCCACCAACATTTATCGAATACTTTTGAGTGCCGGGCGCTTGTATGTGGCTAATTCTCACCACTCGGAGTAATGAAGGCCAGTTGCTTTGGAGTGCCCGATTTGGGCCAGGCCCTTGGCTGGGTTACTTACTGAGATTAGGTGGTTTAATTGCAAAACAGCCTTTGTCGTCGGTGGTACTCTTAGCCCAGTTTTAAGCTCAGAGTGGCTTCCCCAAGGCCACCAAGGGTAGTCACAGACTGGCCAATCCATGCTGCCAGTTTGTCCTGCCCACAGCCTTTAAGGAGGCCTTGTCTCCCCACTTGCGGGCTGGGCCGGTGGGACCTCAGAGAGGTTAAGTCATGTGAGACCCAAGTGGAAATCCGTTGGGCTTCTGTGAAAGCGTCCAATTTCTGCTAAAAGAAACAGTTGCAGCTGGCATTAGCCCCTCATGCTCCTGCTGCTCTGAAGGCGGGTGGAATGTCTGGAGCTGGGCAGCCTCTGCCACATGAGGCAGAGTCCAGGAGACTCACGGACACCAGTCCTGATCCCACTAAACAAAGGACATTTGGCAACATCTGGAGACATTTTTGGTTGTCAATAGGGAAGGAATGCTATTGGCATCTAGGATGTGGAGGCCAGGGAAGCTGCTAAATATCCTACAGGACACAGAATGCCCCCACCACAAAGACCTATCTGGCCCCAAACGTCAACAATGCTGAGATTGAGAAACGTGTGCTAAACTGATGCCAACAACGAGGCTCCTTGTTATGGAAGTCCTCCTCCCACTCCCACCCCTGGAGGCACGGT